AGTTTTTTTAAATATTCGAATTTTCTCCTTTTTATTTTAGAATTTTTAAAATGTTTTTTCTTCCATTTATTTCATATTTTTTTTCCTTTATTTTCAGTTGTGAGAAACTTAATTTTGAATTTTTTAAGAATTCTTTTTTTTTACTCTTTCCTAGAGGCCCACCCCTGATTATAACCAAATTTGGTACACGTGTAGAGCTTACCTAGATGTGTTTATACGAAGAATAAAAAAATGGGAATTGTGATAGTTTTACTTAGTTTTTTAATTTTTTTAAATTTTTTTTTATTTTTTTATTTTGTTTTCTCCTTCTTTTTATTTTTTTCTTTGTTTGTTTTCAATTTTTTTTCAATTTTTCTAATTTTTAATGTCTCTTTTTTCAAAATTTTCCATTTTTCATTTTTTCTCCTCATTTGGGTGGACCATTTTTTATGAAATTTGGCAAAAGTACAATTTGCGTTATCCGATTTGGACGAAATTTTGCAGCAAGCAAGAGTATTTTTATATGCATTTTTGCAATCTATAATATTTAACAAATTAAAAAAAAAAAATTATTTTTTTTGAATTTTTTTTATTTTTTTTTGTGAGACCCACCTTTTGGGTCAACCATATTTTGCACATGCGTAGAGCTTATGAAGATGTATTTATACAAAGAATAAAAAAGTGGGAATTATGATTGCATCTCTTAGTTTTTTTAAATATTCGAATTTTTTCCTGTTTATTTTAGAATTTTTAAAATTTTTTTTTCGTCCATTTATTTCATATTTTTTTTCCTTTATTTGCAGTTGTGAGAAATTTAATTTTCAATTTTTTAAATTTTTTTTTTTTTACTCTTCTCTAGAGACCCACTCTTGATTATAACCAAATTTGGCACACGCGTAGAGCCTACCTAGATGTGCTTATACGAAGAATAAAAAAGTGGGAATTATGATTCTATCACCTAGTTTTTAATTTTTTCTCATTTGGGTGGATCACTTTTTATGAAATTATGCAAAAGTAGAATTTGTGTTATCCGATTTGGACGAAATTTTGCAGCAATCAAGAGTATTTTTATATGCGTTTTTGCAACCTATAATATTTAACAAATTAAAAAAAAAAATTTTTTTTTTTGAATTTTTTTAGTTTTTTTTGTGAGACCCACCTTTTGGGTTAACCATATTTTGCACATGCGTAGAGCTTATGAAGATGTATTTATATAAAGAATAAAAAAGTGGGAATTATGATTGCATCTCTTATTTTTTTTAAATATTCGAATTTTTTCCTGTTTATTTTAGAATTTTTAAAAGTTTTTTTTCGTCCATTTATTTCATATTTTTTTTCCTTTATTTTCAGTTGTGAGAAATTTAATTTTGAATTTTTAAAAAAATTTTTTTTTTTACTCTTCTCTAGAGACCCACCCCTGATTATAACCAAATTTGGCACACGCGTAGAGTTTACCTAGATATGTTTATACGAAGAATAAAAAAGTGGGAATTATGATTCTATCACCTAGTTTTTAATTTTTTCTCATTTGGGTGGATCACTTTTTATGAAATTATGCAAAAGTAGAATTTGTGTTATCCGATTTGGACGAAATTTTGCAGCAAGCAAGAGTATTTTTATATGCGTTTTTGCAACCTATAATATTTAACAAATTAAAAAAAAAAAATTTTTTTTTTTGAATTTTTTTTAGTTTTTTTTGTGAGACCCACCTTTTGGGTCAACCATATTTTGCACATGCATAGAGCTTATGAAGATGTATTTATACAAAGAATAAAAAAGTGGGAATTATGATTGCATCTATTATTTTTTTTAAATATTCGAATTTTTTCCTATTTATTTTTAAAACTTTTTTTTCGTCCATTTATTTCATATTTTTTTTCCTCTATTTTCAGTTGTGAGAAATTTAATTTTGAATTTTTTAAAAAATTTTTTTTTTTACTCTTCTCTAGAGACCCACCCCTGATTATAACCAATTTTGGCACACGCGTAGAGTTTACCTAGATATGTTTATACGAAGAATAAAAAAGTGGGAATTATGATTCTATCACCTAGTTTTTAATTTTTTCTCATTTGGGTGGATCACTTTTTATGAAATTATGCAAAAGTAGAATTTGTGTTATCCGATTTGGATGAAATTTTGCAGCAAGCAAGAGTATTTTTATATGCGTTTTTGCAACCTATAATATTTAACAAATTAAAAAAAAAAAATTTTTTTTTTTGAATTTTTTTTAGTTTTTTTTGTGAGACCCACCTTTTGGGTCAACCATATTTTGCACATGCATAGAGCTTATGAAGATGTATTTATACAAAGAATAAAAAAGTGGGAATTATGATTGCATCTATTATTTTTTTTAAATATTCGAATTTTTTCCTATTTATTTTTAAAACTTTTTTTTCGTCCATTTATTTCATATTTTTTTTCCTCTATTTTCAGTTGTGAGAAATTTAATTTTGAATTTTTTAAAAAATTTTTTTTTTTACTCTTCTCTAGAGACCCACCCCTGATTATAACCAATTTTGGCACACGCGTAGAGTTTACCTAGATATGTTTATACGAAGAATAAAAAAGTGGGAATTATGATTCTATCACCTAGTTTTTAATTTTTTCTCATTTGGGTGGATCACTTTTTATGAAATTATGCAAAAGTAGAATTTGTGTTATCCGATTTGGATGAAATTTTGCAGCAAGCAAGAGTATTTTTATATGCGTTTTTGCAACCTATAATATTTAACAAATTAAAAAAAAAAATTTTTTTTTTTGAATTTTTTTAGTTTTTTTTGTGAGACCCACCTTTTGGGTCAACCATATTTTGCACATGCGTAGAGCTTATGAAGATGTATTTATACAAAGAATAAAAAAGTGGGAATTATGATTGCATCTATTATTTTTTTTAAATATTCGAATTTTTTCCTGTTTATTTTAGAATTTTAAAAATTTTTTTTTTGTCCATTTATTTCATATTTTTTTTCCTTTATTTTCAGTTGTGAGAAATTTAATTTTGAATTTTTTAAATTTTTTTTTTTTTACTCTTCTCTAGAGACCCACTCTTGATTATAACCAAATTTGGCACACGCGTAGAGCCTACCTAGATGTGCTTATACGAAGAATAAAAAAGTGGGAATTATGATTCTATCACCTAGTTTTTAATTTTTTCTCATTTGGGTGGATCACTTTTTATGAAATTATGCAAAAGTAAAATTTGTGTTATCCGATTTGGACGAAATTTTGCAGCAAGCAAGAGTATTTTTATATGTGTTTTTGCAACCTATAATATTTAACAAATTAAAAAAAAAAATTTTTTTTTTTTTGAATTTTTTTAGTTTTTTTTGTGAGACCCACCTTTTGGGTTAACCATATTTTGCACATGTGTAGAGCTTATGAAGATGTATTTATATAAAGAATAAAAAAGTGGGAATTATGATTGCATCTCTTAGTTTTTTTAAATATTCGAATTTTCTCCTTTTTATTTTAGAATTTTTAAAATGTTTTTTCTTCCAATTATTTCAAATTTTTTTTCCTTTATTTTCAGTTGTGAGAAACTTAATTTTGAATTTTTTAAGAATTCTTTTTTTTTACTCTTTCCTAGAGGCCCACCCCTGATTATAACCAAATTTGGTACACGTGTAGAGCTTACCTAGATGTGTTTATACGAAGAATAAAAAAATGGGAATTGTGATAGTTTTACTTAGTTTTTTAATTTTTTCAAATTTCTTTTTTTTTTTTATTTTGTTTTCTCCTTCTTTTTATTTTTTTCTTTGTTTGTTTTCAATTTTTTTTCAATTTTTCTAATTTTTAATGTCTCTTTTTTCAAAATTTTCCATTTTTCATTTTTTCTCCTCATTTGGGTGGACCATTTTTTATGAAATTTGGCAAAAGTACAATTTGCGTTATCCGATTTGGACGAAATTTTGCAGCAAGCAAGAGTATTTTTATATGCATTTTTGCAATCTATAATATTTAACAAATTAAAAAAAAAAAATTATTTTTTTTGAATTTTTTTTATTTTTTTTTGTGAGACCCACCTTTTGGGTCAACCATATTTTGCACATGCGTAGAGCTTATGAAGATGTATTTATACAAAGAATAAAAAAGTGGGAATTATGATTGCATCTCTTAGTTTTTTTAAATATTCGAATTTTTTCCTGTTTATTTTAGAATTTTTAAAATTTTTTTTTCGTCCATTTATTTCATATTTTTTTTCTTTTATTTGCAGTTGTGAGAAATTTAATTTTCAATTTTTTAAATTTTTTTTTTTTTTACTCTTCTCTAGAGACCCACTCTTGATTATAACCAAATTTGGCACACGCGTAGAGCCTACCTAGATGTGCTTATACGAAGAATAAAAAAGTGGGAATTATGATTCTATCACCTAGTTTTTAATTTTTTCTCATTTGGGTGGATCACTTTTTATGAAATTATTCAAAAGTAGAATTTGTGTTATTCGATTTGGACGAAATTTTGCAGCAAGCAAGAGTATTTTTATATGCGTTTTTGCAACCTATAATATTTAACAAATTAAGAAAAAAAAATTTTTTTTTTTTGAATTTTTTTATTTTTTTTTGTGAGACCCACCTTTTGGGTCAACCATATTTTGCACATGCGTAGAGCTTATGTAGATGTATTTACACAAAGAATAAAAAAATGGGAATTTTGATTGTATCACTTAGTTTTTTAAATTTTTTCAATTTTTTTTATTTTGAATTTTTGAGATTTTTTTAATTTTTGTTATTCGAAAAACTTTGGTAATTTTTTTTTTAAATTTTGATTAGAATGGATTTTTTAACGTATTTTTTTTTTAATTTGCAAATTTGAAACTATTTCTTTTTTTAGGGAAAATTAACTCTTTTAATTGAAAAAATGTTAAAATTATTTATTAGGAATTTAAAATTAAACAGTTTTACGGTTCTGGTAAAGGATTCTGAGATGCGAATTTTATTTTATTATAGAAATTAGTTACTTTTGAGTGTATAAAATTTTTTTTGTGAATTTCGCACTTTAGGATCCTTTACCTGACCTATTTTTAGGTATAGCTTTTTATTAATTTTTTTATAATTTTTATTTCATTTTTGCTTAATCCTAATTTGATTAATATTTTTTGTGGTTTGCACTTTAATTTTAAAAATCTTCTTCGAATCATTGTTGGCGTCAAATGTGCCAGACCGGGCGTCATCGAAGCCTCATTCCACGTTTTGTTGTTCTTTAATTTGTTCCTTTTATTCAGGGCAAAACGTAGAATGAGGCTTTCCTCTTCTTCCGTGTATACGTGTCCAGAATCTGCATAAAATAAAAAAGAAATTATAAGAAAGTTCTTATTGTAATTAAAGTAATTTTGTATTAGAAAAGATTTTATTTAGTTCTGTATATTAATGCGAAAGTTTGTATGTTGGATGTATGAATTACGACAATGGACCAACGGTTCTGGATGAAATTTTTTTCGTGGGATAATAAATTTGTTTTATTTTTGTTTTTTATAGAGAAGGGATTTAGATATAATTTTTTCCATAGTGCTTGTAAAATAGGAAGATAAATACTTTGTTAAATGCAATAACTTTATTTGTCGGCGAATGATGGTATTTTTTGAGAATTTGTATATGACTTTTGTAGCTTTATTTTTTATTACTGAAAAGTAAAAATGTCTTTATTTTAAAAATTGCAGCTTATGTATTTACAATAAGCTTTTCAATTATAATAAAACTAAAAATATTTATTGTAAATAAAGATTACCTTGTATTGAGGAAGTTGACGGTCTTGGATTGTCTGTAATGAATAATATGATTAATTGATGAAAAAATAATGTAATATAAATTACTTTGATCCGAAGAAGATGATGTCGATAATAAACGGACTGCTGTTCTTAACTCTGCCGCCGCTGACGACTCTGCCTCTGATGATTCCTCGTCTATTGTTTCAGTCGAGTCGGATGACTCCGGTGACACTGGCGGCGCCGACGACCCCGGCGATTTCGACGAAGTAGGTTCTGTAAGAAATTTTTGTATAGTGGTAATAATAATAATAATAATAATAATAATAATAATAATAATAAAAGTAGTAATAATTATAATAGTAAATACCTTGAAGCCAGACTCGACCACGTTTTAAGGCAAATCGAGGCGGTGGCGACGGCGGCGGCAGCGGTGAATCCTGATAGGCTAAAACATTAATAATTATTAATTATAAAAATTGTTGTGAATATATTTTTTTAATAAAATTACCTGGATATCGCGGGGGAACTTGTTCTAAGTCGTGGTTGTCGTTGTCGTCGTCGTCGTCGTCCCCGGAGTCGTTGTCATTGTCCCCGGAGTCGTTGTCATTGTCAGTGTCGTCGCTGTCGTCGTCGTCATTGTTGTCGTCGTCGTCGTTATCGTCGTCGTTACTGTCGTTGTTGCTGTCGTCATCGTCGTCGGTTTCCTCGTCATGCTGTCCTATAAACTTTACCCGGTACCAGATTTTCATGTTGCGTAAATGTTTCGTTATTAAGTAGGCCGGGAAGTAGTCAATTTTTGTATAAACGTACCTTTTAAGATAAGGAAGGCTAAAATTTTCATGATCTTTGACCGCGGACAGGAACATCTGCAACCCGGAATGAGTTGGACTGGAAAGTGCAGCCCAAACACATTTCGGGTCAGTTGTTCCTGTTATCCTCCAGTCACGTTCACGAAAATTTCGTCTTCTGTATCTTAAAAGATATGTTATGTGTCTTTTGCCCAAGTCATTCGTGTCTGGTCTGGTCCATGTCTTCGTACGTGGTCCGTATTGTAGTAAGCACATACGAGCTACTGCTTTTAAATAGACTAAAGTAGGTTGTTGTTGTATGTCGTATTTGTCGCAACATTGTAGAAAAATTTTTGTATAGTCTTTAAACCAACCCAACGGAATTGGTTGTCTGAAAAAAAGGAGTTTGTCGAATTTTATGATGTCCGTATGAATATTGTGGGTGTATGTCAGTATTTGTTGGTCATTAACGTCGCTGCTGCTCAATGGTTTTCCCCCTAATAATTTTGTTAATCGATGATAGTCTAAATTTTTAGCAACCCCTTCCAAAAAATATTTAATTTTGATCTCCGCGTCGTACATTTCGGTAACGGCTCCAATTAAATGGGTTTCTTCCCATAGAACCAACTGGTTTTGGAAGTGTTGTATATAACTCTCTATAGTTGATTCTATGTGATCCACCCAATTTAATTGAAACGTACCGAAGCACGAATTGACTCTAAAAATGTTAAATAAGTGATCCCGCTCCCCGTGACGATTATTTAAAGCGTTTAATCCGTCTTCTAAATCGCCGTAATTTCTTACAATTTCCAATCTGACGGTAAGTTTGTTTTTTATTAATTTGGCAAAGTGAACTATGTTTGGAATGTAATATTCGTTGAATCCCACCTTGCGTTTTATATAATTATTGCAATTTTTATATTGTCCAAAAATATAATACAAGGTGGGATTCGCCGAAACCATTCGTTTAATGGCGTGAAAAGACGGATTATACGATTGAAAATAAACGCAATCTTTTTCGGCCTGCCCGAATGGCAATTGCGCCGTCATGTGTGTCGGAACCATTGAGTTGTAGCAACGGTAATATTGTATTTCTTTAGCCGATTTAAAAATAGTTTTTCGTGCTTCTGTCGCGTTTGTTATTATCGGTAGGGTGTCATGTCCCACGACGCAGCCGAAATGTAATTGAACTAGCTTAACGTGGACGTCGTCGGCGATTATGTCACGTAAGGTAGCAATGACGACGTCCGCCGTCGCAATAATTCCGTGTTTGGCTCTGAAAATGTTAAAAATTTTAAAAATATGTCTGAGACAGACAGGACAGACAGATTACAAAAATTTATTGTCGAAGAGAATCTTGTAGAATAACAATACAAATAAAATAAAGGTACAAAATAAAAGGTATAAAATAAAATATTCAGCTAGACATTTTTTGTTGTTAAAATAAATAGAAGATGAGGTAATAATTTAATATGTGTAATATTAAATAAAATAAATCAGATTATAACTCATTAGTAGCCTATAATAACTAGATAGGATTTTACACATCAGATTTTTTTGAAAACAAATGCTTTATTAATTAATTTTAAAGAATATGAACTTCAAAAACAAACATCATATTTTAAATGTGAGTTAAATATTGAATAATAGTCTTTTTTTTTTTAGTTGAAAAAGTGAGATATATTTTTGTGATTATTAAATTATAAATTAGAATCATCAATATAGTTTTCCAAGAACTTACTCTCATTATAAAAGAATTTGTTGATTTTTTATTGCAGTTTTTTAAAATTATATTTTTCCAAAAATATATTATGATTTAAACAATTAATAGTATATTACATTACGAGTGTGGAAAATCACTTTTCACACAAGTGATGTACAATATTTTTCCTACGACCACAAAATAATGTCATCAAAAAAATGTAAAACCAAGGTTATTATTACTATAATAATTAAAATGTATTTAAAAAAATAATCAACAATAATCGTATTTATTCAATTTTCATATTTTCTAAACAAAAAAAACTAAAAAAAATAAAAAAAAAATTAAAAAAAATAAAAAAAAACAAAAAAAAAATTCTGCCCCGACAGGATTTGAACCATAGATTGAACGCGGTCGAAAAATGGCAAAATTTATAAGTTCGACGTCCTAACCAGCTGAGCTAACAGCCCTTGTGTCAATTGAATGATCTAATCGGTTATGTATTTAACCAAAATAAAGAGCAAACATTATTTTAAAATTATTTTAATAATAAATAATAAAGATAAATATCTAGGATCTAATTTACAACAATTTCAATAATTTAACAATCATATCGATTTTAGTATTAATATGGATATTACATAGATCAAAATAGAAATTAGCTTACAAAATAATATCAAAAAAATGTAAAACCAAGGTTATTATTAATATATTAATTAAAATGTATTTAAAAAAATAATCAACAATAATCGTATTTATTCAATTTTTATATTTTCTAAACAAAAAAAACTAATAAAAAATAAAAAAAAAAAACAAAAAAAAAATTCGGCTCCGCCAGGATTTGAACCATAGATTGAACGCGGTCAAAAAATGGCCAAGTTGATAAGTTCGACGTCTAAACCAACTGAGCTAATGGGCCTTACGTCAATTGAATGATCTAATCGGTTATGTATTTACCCAAATTAAAGAGCAAACATAATCTTAGTTATTTTAAAATTATTTTAATAATAATTGTTAAAGATAAATATCTAGGATCTAATTTAAAACAATTTCAATAATTTAACAATCATATCGATTTTAGTATTAATATGGACATTACATAGATCAAAATAGAAATTAGGCGTTTGACATTTTTTGACAACTACTGCGGAAAGTAACATATTCTCACTTGGGTGGAAAGTAAATTCTTAGTCATACGCGTGTGATATAGGACACTTTCCATAGGACTATATAGTGTGATATGTGTCACTTTCCTAAGTGGTCGTAGGAAAAAGGTATTTTATATATGTTTCAAAATACGTCGGTAACACAGCAGTAGTGGCAACAAAATTAATCAATCAATTATAGACTTGCATTTTTTTATTGATTCGAAAGCAATCTTGGAAACGAGAAAGAAGGTTGTGATTGTTTAGAAAACTTATCATACTATATTTTTTTTACTATAAATTTTTGAAAGCGTTGGTAAAAATTCGTTTGGTTTATTGAGGGAATTAAATTAGTAAATAATAAAATGATTATGGTGGTGGTTAGTACTCACCGATAGTAGAAGAACCTCAAATTTGCGAAATTATTGGACGGGTCAGCCCGTTCCCGTTCCCCTTTGATGAAGGCGTCCAGCTCGTGGAATACTATATCCGCGTCCTCTGCGAACAGACGTACGTGTTCACTTGTTTCGTGGCAACCAGTGGGGAAGCCATGATTTATTGTTTTTGATGTTAAAGGTAATTTGGCAAGTCCATCTCGAAGTCCTCTGTTTAAAAAATATAATTTTGATCCCACTGGTATTGACGAAGTGCCCATTACAAGCACGTACGTGACGAAGTCTCCTGACCCACCCAGATGAAATTCTCTGTAGTGGGTTAATCCATATTCCTCCCTCATGTACCGTAATAACTTTTTATTTTGGCAAGGTTTGGTGGTTTGATTGAAAGTTATTTTCATAGAGGGAGGAAATTTGAATGCCGATAGAGACCTACAAGTTAAATCATTATTAATAAATATTATTACTAATAATTTCAAAATTTAAGTTAAAAAAAGTAATTTAAACTATATTTCTATTTTTTCTGTATGTTTAATTATTATATTTTTGTGCCAATTTTGAGAAACTTTAAATGTGGTTAGGTTAGGTTAGGTTAGGTATTTAGGTATTTAGGTATTTAGGTATTTAGGTATTTAAATATGAGATTAATCTTTGATGTCCATTAAATTTAGATATTTGTTTTGTATTTATTGTGAATTTATTCGATATGAGTAATTTCTGGATCATGTATGAAGAAATATATATAAAAAAATGAGACTTACTCCGCCAGGACGATATAGGAATCTATATCGTATTCCACTTCTAGCTCATTCAGCTCATCAGGATTCAGCGATCGTATCATTATTATGGTTATGGAATTGTATAATTACAATTTTTAAATAATTTCAATAGTTTGAATAGCTTTTAACAATGTAATATTTTTAAGGTTTATACTCAATAAACGCAAATACAGTGTCAAAATTAGTTATCAATGATGTTTATGTGAAAAGGATCGATCGATCGATCGATCAATACATATCATAATTTATTGGAAATGTTGGAAAAAAAGGATTATTAATGAATTAGACATACATCATTATTATTTATAAGTGTAGTTATATAAATGCATTTGTCATAATTTATTTAAAAAATAAAATAGCAATCATTGGATTTATTGGATTTTGATATGGCATAGATATGGCAACACTGTCGCCTGGTAATTTGACAGTGTCTTCGTCTTCTTTTTTAGTTTTGTATGGGCCTTAATCCTTGCGGATTATTTACCCAGATTTGACAGGGTCAATGATATAGATAGTTATATAGATTGAGCTTATGCTTGGAAGCGAAAAGTGACTGTTATGATATTTTTACTATATTCAAATAGTGAAAAGTGGTTATTACTCTAATTAAAAAATAAAAAAAAATAGAATTTTTTTTAATTTTTTGACAAAATTATCTCAATTTTTTTTGAAAATTAATCGATTTTTTAAATATTACCTTAGTTTCCACATTTCCATTTTTTCTTGCAAAAGTACCCCTTTTTTTTTACCAAAATAAAATAGTTCTTTGATTGTTTTTAGTTTCGACGTTTTTCATAAATTTTATGCCTTTTTGTAAATTACCTTTATTTTTTTTGAAAATGTCAATTTAAAAAATACAATTTGATTTATTTGAATGCATTTTTAATTTAATCACCCCTTTGCAAAAATTACCTCTTCTGTATCCCGGGGTATTTTTAAAGAAATAATGAATGTTATCGTTCCGACGATTATATTTTTGATAATATTCTAAAAGGATCCATTATTTCTTTTCTATATTTTAGTAATACATTACCCCATTTTTTTTTGTAAAATTACTTCTATTTTTTTACAAATAAACTTCTTTAAATACATTGTTTTTTCATTTTTTTCAAAAATGGGAATTATGATGGTTTCACTTACTTTTTCCTTTTTCCCCTCATTTGGGTGGACTACTTTTTATGAAATTTAGCAAAAGTAGAATTTGCGTTATCCGATTTGGACGAAATTTTGCTGCAAGCAAGAGTATGTTTATATGCGTCTTTGCAACCTATAATATTTACCAAATTAAAAAAATTTTTTTTTTTTTTGAATTTTTTTAGTTTTTTCTGTGAGACCCACCTTTGGTGTCAACCATATTTTGCACATGCGTAAAGCTTATCTAGATGTGTTTATACAAAGAATAAAAAAATAGGAATTTTGATTTTATCACTTAGATTTTTAATTTTTTTTTCATTTATTTCTGATTTTTAAAATTACCCCTTTGAAATACAATTGATTTTCTTAAAGAAAATAGTTTTTGTGTCAAATTTTCCCTTTTACAGAATTAACCTCTTTTATTCTACTTTTTATAAATATTACCCCTTTTAAAGAAATTACCTCTTTTGTATTCCACTTTTTTTACATAAATATGATCTTTTACGATCTCGTTTTTGATAATAACCTGTTAATATGCTTTAGAAAACTTTTTATTTATTTTTATTTTTGATAAAAAAAAATATTACCCCGATTATATTTGACCAAAATTACCCCAATTTGTTCAACAAATTACCTTTTGTATTTTCTGACTAATTATGCATTTTAAATGTATGTTTTTTTTAATTTTTTTATGCATTTTCGTGTTGAATTATCTTCATATTTTGTCACAAGAGACTTTAAATGGCTATATCTTGAAAACGCTAAGTCGTAAAAGAATAATTTAAAAAGCATTTTGTAGAAGACACTTCACATTATAAAACTGCATAAAAATAATTTAAGTAGGCAATTAGGAAATAAGAGAAAAAAAATGTCGAAAAATCGAAAAAATGAAGATGGTCTAAATCAATCCGAAATGTTCATATCTCTCCCAATGTACGCACATAATTAGTCGAAATACTGAAGCATTACCAAGTTATTGAAGAAAATGTGTTGGCACCTTTAAAATGTCAAAATTGATATAACTGTCGTACGTAAAGTTGTGTAACACACTTTTTACGACATTTTACGTATATTTTTTTTTCATTTTCCATTTTTAAATTTTTTACATTTTTTTTATAATTGTTTTTTTTTTACAATTTTTTTTAACCTTTTTTTAACAATTTATTTTTATTTTTTTTACAATTTTTTTTTAAATTTTCTCAATTTTTTACAATTTTTTTTCAATTTTGTTATAATTTTGTAGATCATTTTTATATTTTTTTACAACTTTTTTACAATTTTTTTTACAATGTTTTTACAATTTTTTTACAATTTTTTTACAATTTTTTTACATTTTTTTTTTCATTTTATACAATTTTTTTACAATTTTTTTACAATTTTTTTACAATTTTTTTACAATTTTTTTACAATTTTGTTACAAAAATTTTACAATTTTTTTACAATTTTGTTACAAAAATTTTACAATTTTTTTTACAATTTCTACAATTTTTTTTTACAATTTTTTAATATTTAAAAAAAATTTTTTACTCTTAACTAGAGACCCACCCCTGATTATAACCAAATTTGGCACACGTGTAGAGCTTACCTAGATGTGTTTATACGAAGAATAAAAAAATGGGAATTATGATGGTTTCACTTAGTTTTTTCCTTTTTCTCCTCATTTGGGTGGACCACTTTTTATGAAATTTGGTAAAAGTAGAATTTGCGTTATCCGATTTGGACGAAATTTTGCAGCAAGCAAGAGTATTTTTTTGTGCGTTTTTGTAACCTATAATATTTAACAAATTAAAAAAAAATTTTTTTTTTTTTTGAATTTTTTTATTTTTTTTTGTGAGACCCACCTTTTGTGTCAACCATATTTTGCACATGCGTAGAGCTTATGAAGATGTATTTATACCAAGAATAAAAAAGTGGGAATTATGATTGCCTCTCTTAGTTTTTTTAAATATTCGAATTTTCTCCTGTTTATTTTAGAATTTTTAAAAATTTTTTTTCGTCCATTTATTTCATATTTTTTTTCCTTTATTTGTAGCTGTGAGAAATTTAATTTTGAATTTTTAAAAAAATTTTTTTTTTACTCTTCTCTAGAGACCCACTCTTGATTATAACCAAATTTGGCACACGTGTAGAGCCTACCCAGATGTGTTTATACGAAGAATAAAAAAGTGGGAATTATGATTGTATCACTTAGTTTTTTAATTTTTTCTCTCATTTGGGTGGATCATTTTTAATGAAATTTGGCAAAAGTACAATTTGAGTTATCCGATTTGGACGAAATTTTGCAGCAAGCAAGAGTATTTTTATGTGCGTTTTTGTTACCTATAATAACTAACAAATTAAAAAAAAATTTTTTTTTTTTTTTGAATTTTTTTATTTTTTTTTGTGAGACCCACCTTTTGTGTCAACCATATTTTGCACATGCGTAGAGCTTATGAAGATGTATTTATACAAAGAATAAAAAAGTGGGAATTATGATTGCATCTATTATTTTTTTTAAATATTCGAATTTTTTCCTGTTTATTTTAGAATTTTTAAAAGTTTTTTTTCGTCCATTTATTTCATATTTTTTTTCCTTTATTTTCAGTTGTGAGAAATTTAATTTTGAATTTTTTAAAAAAATTTTTTTTTTACTCTTCTCTAGAGACCCACCCCTGATTATAACCAATTTTGGCACACGCGTAGAGTTTACCTAGATATGTTTATACGAAGAATAAAAAAGTGGGAATTATGATTCTATCACCTAGTTTTTAATTTTTTCTCATTTGGGTGGATCACTTTTTATGAAATTATGCAAAAGTAGAATTTGTGTTATCCGATTTGGACGAAATTTTGCAGCAAGCAAGAGTATTTTTATATGCGTTTTTGCAACCTATAATATTTAACAAATTAAAAAAAAAAAATTTTTTTTTTTGACTTTTTTTAGTTTTTTTTGTGAGACCCACCTTTTGGGTCAACCATATTTTGCACATGTGTAGAGCTTATGAAGATGTATTTATACGAAGAATAAAAAAGTGGGAATTATGATTGCATCTCTTATTTTTTTTAAATATTCGAATTTTTTCCTGTTTATTTTAGAATTTTTAAAATTTTTTTTTCGTCCATTTATTTCATATTTTTTTTTTATTTTGTTGTGAGAAACTTAATTTTGGATTTTTTAAAAAATCTTTTTTTTTACTCTTTCCTAGAGGCCCACCCCTGATTATAATCAAATTTGGCACACGTGTAGATCTTACCTAGATGTGTTTATACGAAGAATAAAAAAATGGGAATTAGGATGGTTTTACTTAGTTTTTCTTTTTTCTCCTCATTTGGGTGGACCACTTTTAATGAAATTTGGAAAAACTAGAATTTGCGTTATCCGATTTGGACGAAATTTTGCATCAAGCAAGAGTATGTTTATATGCGTCTTTGCAACCTATAATATTTAACAAATTAAAAAAAAATTTTTCTTTGAATTTTCTTAGTTTTTGCTGTGAGGCCCACCTTTGTTGTTAACCATATTTCGGACATGCGTAGAGCTTATCTAGATGTGTTTATACAAAGAATAAAAAAATAGGAATTTTGATTTTATCACTTAGATTTTTAATTTTTTTTCATTTATTTCTGATTTTTAAAATTACCCCTTTGAAATACAATTTGATTTTCTTAAAGAAAATAGTTTTTGTGTCAAATTTTCCCTTTTACAGAAATAACCTCTTTTTATTCTACTTTTTATAAATATTACCCCTTTTAAAGAAATTACCTCTTTTGTATTCCACTTTTTTTACATAAATATCATCTTTTACGATCTAGTTTTTGATAATAACCTGTTAATATGCTTTAGAAAACTTTTTATTTTTTTTTATTTTAGATAAAAAAAATATTACCCCGATTATATTTGACCAAAATTACCCCAATTTGTTCAACAAATTACCTTTTGTATTTTCTGACTAATTATGCATTTTAAATGTATGTTTTTTTTACTTTTTTTATGCATTTTCGTGTTGAATATTATTCATATTTTGTCACAAGAGACTTT